CTGCTTTAGAAAAAACATCTACTCCTAGATCAGCATATGGGAGCTATACAAATTCTAAATCTGCTTCTGATTTTTTGTATAGTATAGCTTCTGTAATAAAAAAATCACTTTTTGAAGAATTAAATTCCTCGATTTATTGGAGCATAGTGATTGATGAAGCCAACAGTATTGATAATGATAAATATTTAGCAATTGTGGGAAAATATATTGTTAATAATATTCCTTATATGAGATATTTGGGCATGATTAATCTAGAATCTACCACTGCAGAAAATATTTATAACCAAATCTTATCATTTTGTATTTCAAATGAAATATCATATCACAAAATAATTCATTTTGGAAGTGATGGGGCTTCAAATATGACAGGAAATAAAAATGGTGTTGCTACAAGGTTAAAAAAAATCAATCCTTTTATGTCCTCAATTCATTGTATATCACATTGGCTTCATTTAGCTGGAAAGGATGCTTCTGATGAAGTAGAATATTTTCAAAAATATGAAAGAATATTACAAAATTTATATTCATATTTTTCTAGATCACATAAAAGACTAACTTATTAAAATTGATGCAGGAAATTAATGATGAACCAACACTCAAAATATTGAATTTATGTGACACTCGATGGTTGTCATTATCAAATTCTGTACATAATTTACATCAAAACATGAATTCAGTACTTGCTGCTTTAAATGATGATATGTTAGAAGGTGATGAGCATGCAAGTGTTTTATTTGGACAATTGGATCAAGATTTCATTTCTGCAACAATGTTTCTTGCTGATTTAATGAATATTTTGAAAAGGTTAATAAAAATATTTCAATTAGATAATCTATCTTTATCACAATATAAACCAAACATTGATGCTGCAATTAAAGAGATAATAGCAGAATTTATAGGTGATGGAGAAGTTCTACCAAATCATGGCATGATACTCAAAAATTATTTAGAAGAAAATTACCTTTCAGCACCTTCATTTGTTAAAGATTACTCATTAGCAATGATAAAAGCCATCAATGATAGATTCCCTGACTCTGAACTATGTTCTTTGTTTAGAATTTTTGATCCAAATGAACTTCCTGATGCTGAAAATGATTTAAATCTATATGGTCAGAGTGAGATAGAATTTTTAGATGAATTTTATGGAGATACTAAATTGGTTAATGATGAATTTTGTGAAATTGTTGAAAAAGGAACACTCATAAAAGAGTGGAACTCTCTAAAATTCTATTTGTATACCTATAAAAACACAGAAATGTATTTTATTCAATTGTGGAAACACATTTTGGATACAGATGAAAATTTTTATTTCAATTATCCAAATTTAACAATTATTGTTAAAATAGCACTCCTTATACCTTTTTCCAATGCACATGTTGAAAGAATATTTTCACAAACAAATTTGATAAAAAACAAATTGAGAAACAGAATGCATCTAGATACATTGAATAATCATTTAATGATTTTACTAAATGGTCCAGATATTCAAGATTTTAATTTTGAAAAAGCATATGAACATTGGACAAATAAAAAAGTAAGAATAAATAGTTATCCAATATAAATTTTAAAATTTTTTTTCATTTTGGTGATGATCAACAAATGTGCGCATTTTTTATGTAATACACGCGCCCGCACACAATTTCACACACTGCTTTTGATGACAGCAGCAATAATGGTGGCAGATCTGATAAAAGTTGAAATTTTAGCAAACTATATAGTAATAGTGGTAAATTTAAAAAAGGGGGATGATTTTCAGATCAAGAACATGTGATCTACATTACATTCTCATTTGTAAATTCGTTATCTGAAGAAACAATTACTATGTTTATATTTTAATGCTAATATATGTGATTAGTTATACAGATTAATTATCATAAAATTTATTATTACATTACAGAATTAAGAATTAATTTAAATTGTGCAAATCATTTGTCAGTTCATTCTTTCAGATTGCCATTCTTCATTATTAATGAAACAAAGCATTGTAAATGCATTATATTTAAGATCACAATCTGACAACAATTCAGAAGTTATTAAAAAATATCTGAAACAAATACAAATAAAAGACAATTAATAATTAACAATGGTTATTTTAATAAATGACAGTAAATAATAATAGCACATACTGTGAAGGTTGATGACATGAAGTTTCAATCATATGATTATGAACTAAGTATTCATTTTTAGGATCCATTCCTTGGTTAATCTCAACAACACAAAATGGTGTTTTGGCCAATTCTTGTAATGCCATTAAATACATGATAGTTGATACAGATCTTTCCTGTAAAATAATATTTTGTATAAATAATTAATAAAAATCATGTGTTTTTTTCTCTTTTTATCTTACTACTTATACATACATCTACTGATTGCCTTTGACCAATCAATAATTGTAATTCTTCATCATCACTTTTTTATTTAATTTTTTTTTGATTTGTTAATTAATATATTATTATTTTTAATATATAATTTTTTAAAAAACATAAACATGTGCCTATGCAAATGTATATTTTAAAAATTCACATGCCTAAAATTTACCAGAATATTTATATCCCATTTATCATAATCTTCATGAGTGTTGATATGCACTTCACCAGTACATCCGATTTCTAACCAATATTAAAAAATTTTAAAACTTTGTATATAATAGTGAAAAATATTTATAACATAATAATGATGATGATAACAGTTACTATTAAATGCATTTGAAAAGAGTTCACCAATTTTTCTAACCAATTCATATAATTTAGGATCCCATTGCTCCTATTATACAAAAAATACATTTACATTTATCCTTATGTATGTGTGCATATATAAATGTGCAATGTATGATAAATGATACCTTTTCCTTTGCAATTTCATCATTTAGTTCTTTTAATGATAATTCTCTTTTTTCTTTTTGAGATCTAAGGAAAACAATCTAAAAAAAAATTAAATATAAATTAAAAATTTGGATTCCATAACTACAAACAAACATATAAATTATTGATCAATACTTGAGCTTGTCTTTCATTGTATGAATCTATAATGTTAGGATCAACCTCATTATAAAGGTTTATATTTTCTTTTTCATGATCAATAGCATTTCTAATTTCTTCTAATGTCATTTTTTGTGATATCTTAAAAATAAAATAAAAATTATCAAGTAACGTCAAAATTATTTAAAACTATTTCAATATTCATTTTTTTATAATTAATTAATTACTTCTTGAAGTTCTGCTCTTGTCACATCATCAAGTTTATTTATCAACTTATCTGATTCTTGGCAATGATATGTCTTCTTTTCTTCAATTTCATCAAATCTTCTGGTGACTTCATTTTTTTAATACAGAAACAAATGTAATTAACATCTATGATTATGACTTAAAGTTAACAGAATTCATGTTAAAACCAAGTCTATCAGATGTTTGCCTCAAAATATCTTTCTTTTCTTGTATTTGGCTACCTAACTCACCATCATCTTTCAAAACTTGAGTTAAGTTCTGATCTACTTTATTGCAAATTACATATATATCATTGGTTTTTTTTAATAACAACTTTTACCATTGTTATCATTATTTATTATCATGATTAATTTAAAATGTATGACCATTAATAATTAACATAATGAGGCAAAGTATAAAATGAGAGAGGGAAAAAGTGGGAAAAAACCTGGTATCTATTAAAGTTTTAGATTTCTTCCTTGCTATTTCACAAAGGGTTTCTTCTAGGAAAATTTCTTTTTCTTTAATTGATTTGGACAAATCAATTTCACATTGTAAATCAATTTTCCTTTGTTCTAAATTTAACAATTAATTAATCAACATTATTAATGTATATTAAAATATATATACTTACTGACATATAATATTAAAAATATTATTTATATTTACCCAATTCAATTTTTTTTTGTGTATCATCACTAAATAATTGTTGTTTAATTGAATTTTCTAGTTGAGAAACTTCCAATCTAATTTGTGTGATTTGTTCTCCTCTGTAATTAGCTCTTTTAATAGTTGATAATTCCTTATATATTTCATCTGTTTTATCATTCTACATTTATATGTGTGTATGTGTATATGTAAATTATATATCAAAATATGATAATCAATATAATTATTAACAAAGATGACATACCAATCTTTTTAATTTATTAGATAGCTGTTGAAGTTTACATTCTTGTGCACTATGCCAACTGGAATACACCCCCTTTCTTTCTGTTGCATCAATGATAATTTTTTCATATTCACTGATAAAAAAAAATATTAGCAAAAATAGCAAATAATTGTTATTCAGATATTAATCAATAAATATTAACCTTTTACTGTCATTAACAAGTTGATTTTCTTGAAGAAGTTGTTCAACTGCCCTTTTTTCTCTCTTTGTTTCCTCAAATGCAGCCCCCGCAAATGAATATTGTGCACTTGAAATTTTAGCTTGATATAATTGAATCTATTCATTCAGATTCAAATATGAAATATTATTAAAGATAAATATGTATGCATTTATGTTTATATATGAATGTGTTTGTAACAATGACCTTTCTTAGAATTGCTTCTCTTTCCTTGAAATGTGTAACATCTTTTTTCAAAACTGCATTTATTTTTTCCAAGTTATTAAGTTCATCATTATCTGTATTTGATTCCTATAAAATGTATAAATATATATATTCAGCTAATCAAATAACATTATATTGAGAAAATGAAAGAATGAATATGAAAAAAAAATTTGAATTACTGATAACAAATTCTTTTGTTCACTAATTAAACGAATAAAAACAAATAAAAATGAACAAAACGAACATAAGGAAAAAAACGAACAAAAGAATAAAACGAGTAAAAACGAACAAAACGAACAAACGGACAAAATGGACAAAACAAACAAAACGAATAAAATGAGTAAAAACGAACAAAACGAACAAAACGAACAAAAACGAACAAAACGAACAAAATGAATAAAACGATAAAAGGAACAAAATGAATAAAACAAGTAAAAACGAATAAACTAATAAAAACTAATAAAATGAATAATAATAAAACAAACGGATAAAACGAGAATAAAATGGATATAAAACGAAGAATTTGTATTATGATAGGAACTCTAGCCCAATTCAACAATTTTTAAACATTTTGCATTTCGTTTTAATTCTCCGCAAATAACTGCGATGTATACAAGCTTTTAAACTTGTTGAACGTGAATTTAATTATGATTCATTGTGATGCGAATTTAATTATGATTCGCTTTAATTATAATTTGTTAAAACAAAGGTTTTTTTGACTGTATCCATATATGTCAGAACCTAAAAACGTTTTTTATTATAAGTACAAATATTGTTAAAACATGGAATCTCTCATTTGAATTTTTTAAAATTTTCGGAATTTTTAGTTGCCAATTCTTTTCGGTGGTTTGCAAAATCGTGATTTTATAAAAAAATAGTATCAAATTTCGAGCTCGTTCGGAGCTTTAGCCTTGGTATCATTACTACCTGGGTGATGCAATTGTTTGTTATGTCAATGATGATATCAAATGTATCAAATAATCATCATGACCATCATGAATATTTGATCTAAATTTTGGGCAAATTTTAAAAGTATAGAAGTCACTTTCTGTCCTACCTTTTAAAAAAAATAGCTCTATTAGTTGATAGAATATGTCTTTAGTTTTAATGTAATGAAGAGATTTTCTCAAAAATTATTTAGAGTTCTATTCTTTTTAAAAAATGTACTTTACTATGCGAGGAATTTTTCACTACGATCATTTCTAAATTTAGGAAATTGGTACCAAATTTAGACTAGCTCTTGACTATCGTATATATCTAATTTTGACAGTAAGAAACTAAAATCACGTGAGACCTATTTTGAAATTTGGCCGCATGGCGTAGCAATAGGAGCGAGCCAACCATACCTTCTGATTATTACAGATCACTTATTTGTCCATCAACAATTTTCCATAAATAATAACAATAATGACAAACCTCTTACCTTCAGACTGTATACATGCTGTAATAAGTTTTCTTAGTGACAATGACAAGGCTTCTTTACATTCATGTTTATTAATAAACAAATTATGGTGCCTTACTATAGTAGAAAAATTGTGGAGTAAACCTTTTCTTCTAACAAGATTAGACAGATCTGCAAAGTTAGTTGAAACATATTTATCATGTATAAATGAGGAGGAACTTAGTGTTAAGGAAGGAAAATTTTTTAAAAAATACAACAAGCATTTCTTCAAGAAAAAATCAGCTACTTTTAATTATCCTAAATATTTAAGATCCCTCAACTACTTGGACATTTACAACTCTGTTGAACATTGGTCGAACGGTAGATTCTCGGTTGATGACTGGCTACTGGTTACAAATGTCTTATGTAAATTATTTATGAATAGATCGTCTGCTTTTCTTAATTTATCAATTGAAACAGGTCAGATGATACCTTTAGCACCAATATTTTGTCGCAAGGTTAACAACAACAGTCCGTTTTCGCTGATTAGAGAATTTTGCTGTTATGGTAAATTTCAAAAAGATAATATTTATAAAGAGATGGCCAAAACTTGTCGTAGAATCGAAGTACTAATAGTCGAGGGTCCAGATATAGATTATGTAAATAATTCTGATCAAGAAGAAATAAAAGAACTGATTACGTTGATCACTAACCAAAAGGCATTACGAAAGCTTGAATTTCATAATTTTAATGTGTATGACAATTCTATTGTTTCTGCTTTAGGGAAACATTCGCAAACTTTAACTTATTTGGTTTTCCATTATGCTACGTTTATATCTGATAAAATGGATGAGTTAGAAGGAATAACAGATTTGGAAAATTTACAGCACTTGGCATTTAATGGCTGTGAAAATGTGGATGAAGAGTTATTGGAACAGTTACATGTCAAACAGCTTCCAAAACTAACAGAACTTGATTTCAGGCATACACGTCCACCACCTTCATCCATGAATATATTGATTGACAAGTACGGTCAGATGTTAAAAAAATTATATTTAGGAGCTTTACAATGTGATCATACTCAAACAGATTCTTGCTTACAAGTCGTCCGTAATATTACTGAAAAATGCTCAAACAACTTGGAGGAATTTTCGATAACATTTACAAATCCTTTATTAGATTGTTTTCTTCGTTTATTGGAATCGTGTACAAGGCTCAAAAAATTAAGTATAACTGGATCTTTTGAGTATACTGACGATTCGCTTTCACTTATTGGAGCCAGCATACCAGTTAGTCTAAAATCTTTGATAATTAGCACAAAGTGGAGTAGTGAACTTGAAAATTTGGAGAGGTTCTTCGCAAAATGTGAAGCAGGATTGGAATATTTGTTCATTGAAAAATTACCGTGTATAAGTGACAAACATATCAACGTTGTAATGAAGCGTCAGGGTAATACGCTAAAGACGTTGAAAATCCTGGCATCTGAAATAAATATTTCTGATGGTGTGATGAAACGAGCCAAAAAAAAGGTGGGAGTTGTCAACATTAGAACCGATAGCACTTTATTGTATGAAGATTTTGATATTCTTTCAAATCGTGAGTTGACAGGAATACCATGGAAGGAAAACTGGTACGAGTTTGTTGATGTACCAGATGATGAAATATTCTTTGATTATAGTGACGACGATTATGATTATCATTACGGTGATGAGTACGATTATGGGTACGATGATGAATATGACTACGATTATGATAATATTATTGATGAAATTATAGATGATGACGAATTTTATGATGATTTTGTTTTAAAATGATGTACACTATTTCTGAATCTTGCTGTTGTTATATGTTAATCTTAATTTGTTTGTATATTATTATTTGCAATCTATCATTATGATTTTATTTTAAGCAGTCGACTGGAAATACAAAGTTTATTTATTATAATAATAATAATTTTATTATATGTAAATATACACACACATATATATATACACACATAATAAGTTTTATAATTTATCAAAGACTCTCATTGCCATTTCGAATGCCACAAAAGTAGATGCATTAACAGGACCAGCACGTAGAATACAAGTACCAAAACCCTTGAAGAATCCATTGATTCCTTCTTTGCGAAAAGTTTTTCTGGCGCAATCTATTATTCCTTTATATTGTCTTTCCTCTCCACTAAATCCGTCAGTTTGTATTTTACTTTTAATCACATCCACTGGGTAAACTGACAACCACATTCCATATCCTAAATAATAATATTGATATTTGTTAAATTATTAATGAACATTTCTATTACAACAACCAATCATGATGCAAACCTGCTGCCGCGCCATATAAACACGATTTCCAACTTTCAATCTCGCTGCGTTTCTTTTGCTCTCTTGACATTGCTTTTTGAAAAAGATATTCGTAAACAAGAAAGTACGCACCATAACCTTGAAATTCTCGAATCATTGTTATGGTTTGTCCTTTATATATTCCCTTCATGCCATATGAAGAATATATCTGCCTAATGCAATCAATTGGCCCAGAGTATATTTTTGTTGAAACTGCTTTTGATGATGGTTTAATATCAGTGGTGGATGTGATTTGAACCTGAAGTCCTATTTTTGAGTAAATAATAGACTTTTATGAATTAACATTACTACTTTATAGTGGAAAAAAGAAAAGATGAAGAAGGAATGATAAAGCTTACGTGTACGAATATGTTCAACAGGACCTTTATAAAAAAATTCATTAAACCAGATTTAGATTAATCACACTCGATCAATCAATTCATCAATTAAAAAGAAACATGCAAATAAACAAAGTTTACCAGACACCACAGAATTAGCAATTCCTGCGATGGCACCAGCTAAATATAATTGAGGGCTAGTTAAACCACCAGTGTATCCATTCCTTTCGTTAAAGAACCTTTTCATAAATTCCAATGCCCCAAATTGAATGGAAACACATGCACCAACACCAACCAATGGAGTTGTAGTTCCCTAATTATTGATTGATCTGTTAAAAATAAGTAATAATCTTCTTGTGTGTGGGTGTGAAAAAGAGTGTAAAAGGTTTCTTTTATCTCACCTTGTAAAAAGCTCTAAATCCTTCATTTTTCTTGGTTTTTTGAACACAATCCAACATTCCAGTAAACCTTGGTTGTTCACCAAGTTTTGGTGTTGGTTGCGTTTGGAGTCTCTTTATAATAGATGTTAATTGCACGCGTTAATGGATATGTGTGTGTGTATGATTGCATGTAGGAATGTACGCATGCATGATTTTTTTTACCAAGATTTATGAGAATTGTGAAGTTGAATGGGATTCTTCAATTTCTTTTGCCCTTCTCACATTTCTCTCATACTTATTAACCTACCACTTTAACTGTGTCGAATGGCTTTTTAAATCAAAAATAATCATAATTATAATAATTATATAAATAAAAATAACAATAATAAATGAATCCAAGAAAAAGTGAAGCTGTAAATCTACCTGCCCAACTAACACTTGGCAAATTCCTCCGACAGTTCCACTGGCTAAATCTTTAATTATTCTAACGATACCACCGCTACTCTCACTTTCTGTTGTCATAATTTTATTATCTAACGAAAAAAATTTTTGTATAAAAAAATTTTTTTAAACAAGTTTTTAACAGGTTTTAAACAATGAGAGGTAATATGAACATCAAAATGTCCATATTAATATTAAATTTCATTTAATTTGTATAGCATAATTCATTTATAATTTTTCTCCTGATGAAAAAGGTTGCTTGCTAACCTTAAATAAACTGGATTCTTTGAGAAGAATCAGAACAAAACCAAAAGGAGAAAATTTTGATTGCAATGAATAATTAATAATATCTTTATCTTTTTTATCTATATATAATAGTTGTTAAAGCGAGACGCAATAAAGTTCATTACACGTGACATACGATCAAAACTTTTTACGTGACGTTTATTCTTATTAAACATGCCAAGAAAAAATCATTTCTTCGGGCTTAACAAGGAATAAATAAAAGAGAGGTCTTTCTTTACAAGTGTACTTCCTATTAATCAGTAAATTTTATCTAAAAACATTATCGAGTAAATTGATTTAAATTAAATAAACGTTCAAATCGTGGCATGGGAGGGATTAATTAGAAGACAAATAAAAAGATTATCTGGGATCACTTTTTAAAGTAATGAATAAATCAATCAAATTTTCATCATTTATCATTTATAATAGAAAATATAGCTTAAGATTATCAATAAAATTTATAATTTGTTTAATCCTTGTTTTAATAATAAAATAACTAGAAACAAGGTTGTGTTTCTATAAAAATAATTTCCATTGCTATAAGAAAAAGAAAAATTCCACAAAATGATACTTTTTAAAAAAATTGTGCCAAATAAATCTACAAGAACCAACCAGATCTCTTAAAATTCTAATTTAACATCAATATTATGACTATCACCATCTACCTCTCTCTAAAATGGATGAATGAATGATTTATGTATGAATTAATTTATTTATTTATTATTAATTAATTAATTTTATTATAATAAATGATAATTTACTTGATATTTCTCCATTAATGGAATAATTACAGTCTCATCAAGATGCAATGAGTCATTATCTGCACTTATGAAGCCATTTATAATTGCCCAGACAAAACTCTTGTTAGTACCATTCACTTTACCTTTATCATGAGAAAATGCAAGTCGTGTAATGACTTCTAAATAAGTTCGATCTTCATCTTCCTCAATTTCATTTAATAATAAGAGAACATCTCTTGTTGGTTTTTTGTTTTTCCACTCCAATATTTGATTCATAGACGCGTCATTGTTTATCGCCTCCAACTTCTTAAATTTTTGAAATAATGTAGTTTTAATTCTTCTCACAGCGTTCCCTCTAATTATTCTAAACAATTCTAAAGAAGGTCCTCTAAGAGTAAACCACACAACATCCCACTTCTCTCTTTCACTGTATCTTTCGTCATCTGGAAAATTGTTCATTAATGTTTGACGAGTGAATTTTTCAATAACTACATCTTGAGGATATTTCTCTTTGACAAACAAGTCTCGTCGATATGCATCTTTGATTATTCTCTTTTGATTATAATATTAATAATAATAATAAAAATTAAGTTAATTAAAGTTAATTAAGTATCATTCTCCAATAAATATCTTTTTACCTTAATATTCTCCGTAACTTGATATTCATTACTACTATTATTCCTATTAATACTTTTCATTTCTTCTAACAAATTATTCATTACTATTGACATATTTTCAATTTTATTACTTAGATTATTGTTGTCATTTTTTAGATCATTATAATTATTAACAAGCCTGTTGTAATTTTCCAATAGCATTTTATAATTCTCTAAATAAATATTAATAATAAATATATATAACTGTAAATATGGTTGATTTATTAACACAACACGTATAGTATTATTATTTACCATTCGTCGACGCATCAGTATCACTATCATCATCAATATTATTATTATTCAACTCGTTTCGTATTCTTTTGTTAGGTGATTCATCATCACTAACAATTATGTGTGGGGCTCTTTTTATTGAGAAGTTTATTTTATTAATAGGAGCTACAGTAGTAGGCCTTGGCTTTCGTCCTCTGGTGTTTTTAGTCCTCATATTTAAAAAAAATCAAGCCGCGAAAAATAAAATAAGGTTTACTGTATTACATTTAATTTAATTGGATGATTGATATTAATTATTGGCATTCTTATGAACATTTTTAATTATAAATATTATAATTGGAATCAAACGCAGAGCAGAACTTCTGGTAATTATAGGATAAACGAACGATTGGGATTTTGCTTTGCATAAATCAACGGATGTTTAAAGTATTACTGCGCTTATAAAAATTCGTTGAAACTCGATTACTAACCAGACTCATTGAAACGAGGTTTGGTTGTATAAAGCTAATTATTTATAAATTTGCATTATAAAAATGCAAAAAGTTTTACAAACCACATTTCATAAAACCAAATTGTCTTTAATACTCGTGTTTGAAGCATAGGCATGTAGAGCAACTTTTTCACACACGCACGAGTTGTGTTAACTTGATATTTTTGAACTTTGAAGTTAACTACGCGTAATAGTAAACGCACACAATATTAATAATAGAAAATGTGCTTTAGTAATATAGATTAGTCAATATTAATATTGGTACGTAGAATAACCTTTAAATAGTACACGAGACAAGGTTTAAAGTTTTAAAATAGAAAACATGATGAATCAATTGCTAAAGTTTGATTAAATAATGCAATTTTTATTTTTCAATTTTTCGAAATAAGTTATTAATATGATAGTAAATAGGCATTCTTGTATTAATAACAACAGCAAATTAAATTTTTCATTATATAATAATAATATCATTATGATCAATCAGGGTAATGATGTATCTGGCTGGGAAGTTATAAGAAAGATCGGGTTAAGGAAATTATTTGCGATGAACTTTATCCCATAAACTGTATATGCTGCAGAAGCTTGTAACATGTGATTACAGTTTATGGGATAAATATTTTTATACATTTATTATGCAATTATTATAATATCAAAAAATCAAAATTCTGTCCCTTATTTCTTTCTTTTTTTGCCATTATTATAAAATGATGGACATAAAGTCTGTAGACTTTTTGCTAAATGATCAAGATCATCAGTGTATTGTTTGTCATCATCGTCATCATCGTCATCATCGTCATCATCGTCTTCTTTTTCATCATCGTCATCTTCATCATCGTCGTCGTCGTCGTCGTCATCATCATCATCATCATCATCATCATCATCATCATCATCATCATCATCATCATCATCATCTCCCTTTTCATCATCTCCCTTTTCATTATCTCTCTTTTCATTATCTCCCTTTTCATTATCTCCCTTTTCATTATCTCCCTTTTCATTATCTCCCTTTTCATTATCTCCCTTTTCATTATCTCCCTTTTCATGATCATCGTCATCATTTTCATCACTAGTATT